TGCAATAGGTTTTAAATGAGTTGAGTTGAGAGATCTTATTGGTGGAAGACAGCGTAATCAAATTAGGCATGTGAAAATTCTAATATAAACATGAGGGGCGGAGCTTGTGGATGCTTTTGATTGATAGGCACTTCAAGCAATGCAAGCCAGAATATCTCCACTGACGAACAAACGAACACCACGAGAAGACAAGCGTCCTCTACTGATATGAGGCTTAAAAATGACTTGGTGCACTTCTGTCTTATTAATATGCCCATTTAGAATGCATTCATTGGTTTTCTATGAGTTGAGTTGAGAGATCTTAATAGTGGAAGACAGTGTTATTAAATTAGATACATGAATATTCAAAAATAAACATAAGGGGCGGAGCTTGTGCATGTTTTTGATTGGCAAACGCCTACTCTGTCCATTCAGGAGCTTGACATGACCCTTAAAAATGAGGTATTGCACTGCAATCTGGTCATTTTAACAAGTGATTTTAACAGATTTAGAATGAGTGAGGGATCTTATTGGCATAATCAGATTAGTTTTGTGAATATTAAAAAAAATAAATAAACATGAGGGGTGGAGCTTGTGCATGCTTTTGATTGGCAAACGCTCAATCTGTCACCTCCAGGAGCTCAACATGACCCTTAAAAATGATGCATCGCACTGCACTCTGGTCATTTTAATCTGTCCATTTAGAATGTGTGCAACTGGTTTAGAAAAACTTGAAGGATCCTATTGGCGAAATCAAATCAGGTGTGTGAATATTCAAAAATAAACATGAGGGGCGGAGCTTGTGCATGTTTTTGATTGGCAAATGCTTAATCTGAACTCTTCCAGGAGCTTGACGTGACCCTTAAAAATGATGCATCGCACTGCACTCTGGTCGTTTTAATGTGTCCATTTAGGATGTGTGCAACTGGTTTCGAATGAGTTGAGGGATCTTATTGGCGTAATCAAAATAGGTATATGCATATTTAAAAAATAAACATGAGGAGCGGAGCTTGCATGTTTTTTGATTGGCAGGCACTTCAGACAACACAAGCAAAATTATCTCCACTAACGAACAAACCAACACCACGAGAAGACAAACACTCAAATCTGTCACCTCCCTTCATATGAGCCTTAAAATGAATTATCTTAGTGCACTTTGGTCTTATTACGTCTTTTTGGAATGAATGCAATTTATATTGAATGAGTTGAGTTGAGAGAAAACGGCATAATCAAATTATGTGAATATTCAAAACTAAACACGAGAGGTGGAGCTTGAGCATGATTTTGATTGGCAGGCAAACGTTCAATCTGTCAGCTCCAGGAGTTTGATGTTACCCTTATAAATGACGTATCGCACTGTATAATGTACTCTGGTCCTTTTAACAGGTGCATTTGAATAGCATGCAATTGGTTTTGTATGAATTGAGTTGAGAGATCTTATTGGTGGAAGATGGCATAATTAAATTAGGTATATGAATATTCAAAAATAAACATGAGGGGTGGAGCTTGTGCATGATTTTGATTGGCAGGCACTTAAAATGTGTGCAGATTTCACATATAGGAGTGTGCACCTTTTTTTCCACAGAGCTCTGGGTCAAACTGAAAAATAATACTAAGTCTAACAAAAATCTCAGTTATCTGCATGACTGAAATGTAAAAATTAAAAATTAAAGAATGCTTATATTGAATTAATGATATTATCTCTATGCAAAATTAAAACAAAAACAATTAAAACAACTGAATACTGTGTAAATATATAAAAATGGGTACATTTTAGCAGAGTTCAATTCATGTATAACACAATACGCTTTTTAAAATGTATCATCATCACCCATTTAATCGCTTAAAAAGTCCATCTGGACTGCGTCAGTAAATCCAGTGCAGTAAATCCAAAGCAAAAAGCACATGCACTGACTTTTAAAATGTGACAAATATTACACAACAGTGCAAATTGTGCAGCACACAAGTCCAAAATAATAATTGATGAAATATACAACTATTTAATGCAATCAGATCAGTTTCGGTACTAAAATAATTCATCAAAAACCCTGAAATGACAGCAGCCCGACTCTAAATGATTACTGCTCACAATTACTGACCCACAACACTGCACTGCACACAGTATGTGTGTGAGAAAAATTCATATTAAAATCCAAACAAACAAACGAACATGCATTGACTTTTAAAATTATATAAATGAGGAATTCAGAAATGATTTGACGCCATCAAATCTGTACTACAAAAACACTGGTCACAATTACTGACCCACAACACTACACTAGACAAGCGCAACACATTGAGAGCACGAATAATATAATGAAGCACAGATCAATTGAACACACAAAGACATCAGCAATTAGGAAGGAAACTATATACTGTATAACTGCAGGGTCACTATGATTACTATCTAAACTTTACACAACTTTAATTTGGATTGCAATGCATAAGGGTGCATCTTTTCGTAAATGATAATTATAGTGCAAAGCGCAAAAGAAATCAACTTGAATAGAGTAAAGCACAGATAAATTGAGCATGCACATAGACATCAGCATTTTGAAAGCGCACTATATACTGTATAATTGCATGCAATAACTGATTATACTTATTATGATTTGTGCTTTAATGTAAAAACATGCACCTTTGGAATGATAATAATGGTGAAAAGCCATATGGAAATGAAGTTGAATTGAATAAAGCACAGAACACAGATAAACTGAACACATAGACATCAGATCAAGGATGATATATATTGTATAACTGTGATTATACACTGTCTAAAGCATACACAACGCATTACATGCACCTTTTTGTAAAGCTGCTTTGGAACTGGTGCAAAGCACTAAAGAAATCAACCTGAAGCGAATAACACACTGATAAGAGAGCACGGACAGATTGATCATGCACAGACTCAACTGTACAACTACACACAGTCTAAACACAACTTTTCAGATTTGTACTGTAATGTTAAAGCATGCACATTTTTCGTGAAGCTGCTTTGGAATGATATTTAGGGCGAAAAGTGCAATGCATATCAACTTGAGTTGAATAAAGCAGAGAGAGCAGAAAAGCATGGAGGATTTCTGCCTTCCGCGAGTCTGCCAGACTCCAGAGTTTGTTTGGGTGTGTGTGCGCGCAGAGGAACTGAAGGTGCTCACGCTCCGCTCACCTTGCGCACATGTAAATGACACGTATTAGAGCTGACAATCAGCTGTGCGCACGCCGGGCCCCGCTCCTCCCAAACACAGGAGGCAGAGGAGGAGCCGCGCAGCATAATGGGGGCGCAGAAACAGTTTAGACGGGGCGGAATCTGCTATTGTTGGGGATGAAAGAGCCCGAGCCAAAGAGTCGCCCCCCTCCTAATTCAGCAGCGACGGCTCAGCTGCCATAATCAAACACTGAGACTTCTCCTTTTGCAAACCTGAGATGATGTAATCAATCTGAACGCATGCACGGCGAGGAGCTGCTCTTTGTGCTGTAGGAAACGTGTGAAAATGTGCATCTCAGGACAGCCGGCGGCTGGAGGAAGCGGATCTTCCTGTCATTGCACGCAGGCTGAATGTGTATTGTAAAGCAAAGACTTTCCATTGCATGGAAAAACTGCACACTTTTCTGACCTCTGACATCAGAGACATCAATGTGCTGCTTCTTCATTTTTATTGTGTGTGTGTGTGTGTGTGCACTTTAAATTAAAGGCTACGGGCCCTAAATAAAGCAGCTCAGACTGACACGCAGCTGGACAGAAGTTGAACAGCGGGAGAAAGAGAAGAAAACAGCAGCGCTGCATCAGAGATATCCAGAGTTTGGCTTTGCCTCAAGATGTGTGCAATTCATCTCCTCGAAAAGTTGATTTACAATGCAAAGCATATTAAGAGTATGCTTTTAAAAACAGCATGCATTTAATTTCAGCAGAACGCATGCATGCATGATGAAAAATAACACGTTGTTATATTAATTAAATCTGCAGATTTCACCTGAATCCAGCAGGTGTGCACATTTCAGCCCTCGGTCATCCAGCAGCACTGAATATTTCATCTGTGTCCTCGTTTTAAAACGACTGTCACTTCACATCAGGATGCGTTTGTGCATTTTTTATTTCTCCCTAAACAATTAATTGAGCGTCACCACACACCCGCGTTTACACGAGTCACGAGCGGTGCAGGCGAATATTTAATCCACGCATTTTTATGCAAATCGCGCACAAGTAGTGCATTAAAAACAAGATCATTTCCTAAGATTAAATTCGATGAAAAGCATGATTATTAAATAATGCAGGCTATCCTATAAAAAAAATCGCTCTTTTTTAAACTTTAGCTCTTGAAGACACTCGTGAGGCTGAAAAGACCCTTGTGCTCGTATTGATTTTTAGCGGATCAATATGAAACATTTCATAAAGGAAGAGGAAGGTGGAAGTGAACTGATCGCAGCGTTTAATCCTCGAGAAGCAGAATTAAAAACTCCAAACAGCCGGCGGCAACAAACTCTCCAATGCAGCTTCAGTTTATATGCATAAAATAAAACCACTATAGTGTGTGTGTGAAACACTGCAGATTTAAAACATCCCCTAAAACACCAGTGGAGTTTATAAAAACTCACCGCGTGTGCTTTACAATCAGCCTGCGTGTGTTTAATGCAAAACTGTATTTATAAAACAGCAACCGAGCTCTCTCTCTCTCACACACACACACACACACACACACACGCAAATGAGCAGCTCTAATTCATGCATCTGCGAATGAATGAAAATAATGCGTTGAGACTATCGGTCAACATGAAGTGTAAAGAATCCACAGGCATCAAACACAAGCAGAGCGCTCGAGAAAATGCGCACAAAAGTTTTAAAATCCAAACTTGCGCGAAAATAGACAGAAGCGCGCGCGTTATTTGGCCTTTATTTACATCGCGCGCGCGCTGAGTCCGATTTCTACGTGCGCTTCCTCCATCTGGACCCCCTGATCTGTCCGGTCTCACATGCCCGCGTCCGTTCGCCGCGCCAGGACACTTTTCCCAAAAGCCGCTCTTACCGTTTTTCCTCCGCGGGTTGGCTTGTTTTCGCCTCTTACACCGGGGGCCATCCGCCATGATCAGCTCCCGCATTGATAAACGTGGATCAGATGGCAGTTTGCATGGACTCAGACCCGAGCAAACACGGCAGCAGGGTGAACCGCTCCCTCTGGCAGCCCATCAGCCCGAGCACACGAACAGAAAGACACAGAAACACACACGGGCACAAGAGTCAATGAGAAGCTCTCGGATCAGTCGCTGTCCGTGCATCTGATCAGCGGAGGACTTGCGCATGCATTGACTTGTGGTGGACACGTCTAAATAAGCAGATTAAGCGAGCATGTGTGCTTTAATACTAAATAATGGCGAGTCTCAAAGGTCACAGGCTGGATTTATATTTGACATGTTTGGTGTGTCAGTGCGCGCAGCTTTACTTGTTTTGCGTTTAACTCATCTATACAATCAGGACGAATCGTGTTGTATTTGAGAACCGTTTGTTAAATTGATTAAACTTAAAGAAATAAATGCAATTAAAAATATGCATTTGGTTTGCATGACTTTTAGCAAAAAGGCAAGATTTGAAAACTTTCAATCTGATTTGAATAATAGTGTGCAATATTAGGTGCTGGGAAGCAAAACGAATTAATCAAATGTAGAAAAAGCTGCATAATTTGTGTTTATATTTATTTAGCATAAGCTAAATATATTTGTGTGATTGCATGTCTAAAATGTGCTTTTTAATAGTGTGTTTGCTCTGCATTTACAGTTAAACGTCGCGATGAGACATCGCTTTCTATCAGCAGTCTCGCGCACTGCAACATCGCAGAAATTAAAAAATACTTTATATTAAAATAAATAGTTCAAATCATCTATTAAGATTTGTTTTCTAAAAGCACAGCTTTCTTTTCTAAAATAAGCCGTCGGTTTTACCTGTCTCTCAGCGCACCTGCACAGGTGAACGCAAAGGTAAGAGCAAAACACACACACACCTTCACCTAAGAGCATCCTCAGCCCCATCAACATTAAAGCGGCTTTATCCCGCGTCAGGACTGTTCTCAAGAAGATGTGAAAAGGTAAAAGAGTGTGTCTTACCTTGTGCTCTCTGCTGCAGGAGTGTGTGTTGTGTGTGTTATAGTGTCTGGGTCCAGAATAAAGCCTGAGAAACAGAGGCGCGTTATTCCTGACTGATCCTCTCACACACTCCAGGACTCAAACCTGCGCTCGGACTGACGCGCTCACACGCCTCGAATGACACTGTTTTCCTCCTTTTCTTTTCGAGAGAGAGAGAAACACACGCCACCTATCAGCACAGGGAGGGATAATAGAGCCAAACGTGTGTGTTTTATGAGCGCGCGCGCGCACACACACGCGCGCGCGCGCACACACACGCACGCACGCACGCGGAGAGAACATCGGACACCTTTATAGCAAAGACACGAATAACGTTTGAAGAAAGTTCGACGTTTTTTTTTCCCTCTCTCTCTCTTTCTCTCCCTCTCTTTCTCCTCAGCGCACACCACGAATGCAACTGTCCGGGAAATAAGAGAGGGTGAAATAAAAACGGATGACGTTCTGTCAGAGAGGAGCGCGCGCGCCGGAGGTGCGACAGGTGAGTCCGCAGGTGCACAGGTAAGACAAACCTCACCTAAAACTCGCTCCTTTATCCATCTAACACAACATCCATGCAATTTCACATCTGAAGCAGACCTAAAGCCTCGTCGTGAGGGATTCCGACACATTTAAGGGCGTGAATGAGCTTCTTCTCTCTCTTTCTCCCTCTGCATTCTTCCAGCTTTGTTGTTACTGTGTTTTACGCGTTAGAGCGCGAGTCTTCAGAGGGCGACACTGCTTTTAGTGCACAGAGTTTGTGCTCTTTCTGGGTTTGTGAGGATAATGAAGACATCAGTCTGCTGGCATCTGCTCTGATTGATGCTTTTGTTCAGCACAAACCTCCGACTGCAGTAATCTATAATCAATCAGGTATGAAATTGATTATTTAACACATGCAATCAAGTAATTCAATTTCAAAAAATAATGGAATAATAATAATACTTATAATAATAATAATAACAATAATAAAAATAATAATAATAATAATAATTATTATTATTATTATTATCATTATTATTATTATTATCATTATTATTTATTTTTATTATTATTGTTGTTATTTATGACTAGAATAGAAACAACATATAAATGCTGCATTCCTATAAAGGATTTTGATGTGATTTCTGTCTTTCTCCACGCTGTGAATGCAGGCTGTGCGCTGGGTTTGTCCGTGACTGTCTGAATTCATCCATCCGGATCTACTGTATATCCCTGTAGGGTGAGTGACACAGATCAGTCAGACAATAATTAATCAATCAGTCTGTGCTAAAAGCTGACATGCCTTTTTACTGGATTTGACCTCCCCTGGCTCATAAAATCTGGCTAATTCAATATTTGTATAGCTAATTTGGATGTCCAACCAAAGAATATATTAGATTGTCTATTTTTAATGTATCTATCTATCTATCTATCTATCTATCTATCTATCTATCTATCTATCTATCTATCTATCTATCTATCTATCTATCTATCTATCTATCTATCTATCTATCTATCTATCGTGTCTGTCTCTGTTTTGATGTGCAAGTATTTTACACACGGTTGAATGCAGTGTGAAACGGACAAACCCTGCTCGCTCGACCCTCTGGGTTCATGAATGTGTTCATTTAATGGAGGAGACAGACGCCCCCTTTCTGCGCTCGCTCCCGTTACACCCTCTCCTTCATTCCTGACCTGTCACACACTCAGCTTCTCAAAAGGCAAGATTTATTTATTTTTTTACATTTTTTTTTTTTTTTTTTGGGAAGGGGGCTTTTTCTAAACTCACATCATCGGTGCGCTGCATTATAACGTGTTGAAGCAAATGTGTAAATTATGAATGCACCGTGCAAGACAATCCCTGAGGATGATAACATTTAAAGAAGGGGATATATGGTGCATTTTTAAAAGAGAACAATTATTGCATCTTTATTTTATTTGAAGATAAATTGATGTAAATCTGCATGGTCATTCTGTAAAAAACAATGTATGTACAGTTGCAAATGTGTAAATTATGAATGCACTGTGCAAGAAAATCCCTGAGGATGATAACATTTAAAGAAGGGGATATATGGTGCATTTTAAAAGAGTGCAATTAATTGCATCTTTATTTTATTTGATAATAAACTGATGTGTAATTGCACGGTCAATCCGCAAAAATCAATGTATGTACAGTTGCAAATGTGTAAATTATAAATGCATCATGCAAGAAAATCCCCACTGAGGATGATACAATTTAAATATGCTGTCATACAGTACATTTATTTAATACAGAGCAATTAATTGCATCTTTATTTTATTTAAAGGTAAATTAATGTGAAATTGCATAATCAATCTGTAAAAAATGCACATGCACAGTTGCAAACGTGTAAATTATAAATGCATCATGCAAAAAAAAAATCCCATATGAGAATAAAACAATTTAAATATGCTGTCATACAGTACATTTGTTTAATGGAGTGCAATTAATTGCATCTTTATTTTGTGTTAAGATTAATTCATGTGAAATTGCATAGTCAAAATATTAAAAAAATGTATGTACAAATGCAAATGTGTGAATTATGAATGCATCATGCAAGAAATATCAGAATAATGATGACATTTAAATATATAGTGCACATTAAAAGAGCGCGTTTAACTTGAATTGATATAAAACGACATGGTCAATCTGTTTACATCAAAAAAAAATCCAGTATGAACTTGAGCCCATCCTGCGCTGCTACTTAATTCTCCTACAGTCATTATAAAGCGCACAACAGTCGCAGAGTTACAGGCGTGTATTTCATTAGCATAATTATCACATCTTCATGTGAGCGTGCGCATCACCAGCCAAAAAGCCTGTCCGACTGTTCGCAGATCTGTGCGAATACAGCATGCATGCACATGCATTACATGCGGTAGCGATTTCTCATCTGTACTTATTAATTATGCATCTACCCAACAAACCTGCTCCATTCACAGCCGCATTTTAATGTGAATGACAGCTGTATTGGGGTGAGCGTATCACACACACACACACACACAGACAAAAGAAAGCAGGAAGAAGCACAAGACTGATGGACGATTCCAGCGCAGGGAGTGATCTGAAAGTCATGTGAAATGAGTTGTACAGTAGCCGCAGGCTCTACTGTATATAACGCCATGCACGCTGCGCTTCTGCAAATGCCGTATGCATCAAATAGCTATTGATTTCCGCATGTAGCACTTGTTCGGTACGGAGGATGATCAGATCAGATTATTAGCCGACTCTCTTCATTTGCACGCATCAAACGAGAGAGCGATGAATGTGAATCTCTCTCGGTAAAGAGGTCAGGTCTCCAGTGAGGGGAAAGTAGCAGCGCCACGGCAAACCCGCAGACGTATTTATAACTCCAGCTTTCTCAAGCACAAAATGGAAAACATTCAGGATTAATTCTGACATTAACAGAGTTCATACACACACACACACACACAGGGAGGGAGAGAAAGGTAAAGGTCTGCCTACAGAAATATGCCTTATTGTTCGCGTGGAATTAATAATTGACGGTTGTTAAATGAATAATTTATCACGAGCTGGAATAATTGTCGTATCTCTAATCTCGATGCACATTTGCATATGAATCTTGTAAAAGGGAAACAAATCCGCCGTGCAAAACTTCGCAGGCATGTGAAATCGAACTGATCCTCTGAAATAAAAGCTGGGTTTCTCCTGCAGGACTCGGCCCTCTTGTGGAAGAGCGTCAGGAACGGAGACGCAGTCACGGCAGGTGACACACATCACTCTGGATCAAACGCAGTGTCAGAGCTTGTGACACATTCTGATTCATTAACAACATGACACAATCAAAGAGCTGTAGGTAAAACTGATGGTCGGATGCTGATCGGTTTAACATATCGCATCAACAACAGTGTAGAAGCAGCCACAGAGCATTTGTTCAGATTTTATTTAGATTTTATAGGGGATTTCTAGATTTTAAATGCACAAATAATTTTAGAATATGAATAATAATTGTATATTTATGAATTAGGAATGATGTCCAGAAATCATTTGTACAGTGTGCACATGAAATGCCTGTTCTTTAGACGTCATGATGGACAGAGTATATTAATTGAGGATTTAATCAAGATTTATTAAGATGTCATTAAAATGTCTTGAAAAAGATTTTCAAGAATGAATAATCTCCATAAAATATTTGGACAGTGTCAGCACTTGAAACACCTGTCATTTAGATGTTACAGGGGATATTTATTGAGGATTTTATCAAGATTTAATAAGATTATTAAAAATATTTTCAAGAATAATCTCCAAAAATCATTAGATGAGATGTTGAGATATATTTATGAGGGATGTTTACATTTTTGCACATCAAAAACTCACAAATCATTTTAAGAAAATTGAATTTCAAGTAAAATTTGAAGGAAAACACATCTCCAGAAATATAACCTGTCTAGTGTTCAGCGAAACACCCATTTAGATGTTGAGATGTTTAGATGTTGCAGTGGACAGGGGATATTCTTTAGGGATTTCATCCTAATCTCACAATTACTTTCAAGAAAGTTATCAAGAAAGAATAATCTCACATTATTAAGATGTTATAAGACATGTTTATCAGGGATATTTAAAATTTAATACTTAAAAATCTCACAACAAAAGCTAAAATCTCCAGAAATTATTTGCACAGTGTTCAGTCTGAAACACCTGTTATTTAGATGTTATAAGGGGACAGGGGATGATTATTGTATCAAGATGTCATCAAAATCTCACAGTTAATTAAAAACATGACACAATCAAAGAGCTGTAGGTAAAACTGATGGTCGGATGCTGATCGGTTTAACATATCGCATCAACAACACTGGTGTAGAAACAGCCACAGATCATTTGTTCAATGTACATGAAACACTTATTTAGATTGTATAGGGGATTTCTAGATTTTATACATTAAAGTGCACAAATAATTTTAGAATATGAATAATAATTGTATATTTATGAATTAGGAATGATGTCCAAGATTTTCAAGAATTAATAATCTCGCTAAATTATTTGTACAGTGTCAGCACATGAAACACCCGTCATATAGATGTTACAGGGAATATTTATTGAGGATTTTATCAAGATTTAATAAGATTATTTAAAAAAATTCAAGAATAATCTCCAAAAATCATTCGATAAGACACAT